AGAACTACTTTTGAAATTTCGTATTTTCATTTGCCAATATAGTGTGGAAATATTTTCAGGTTAAAACATACACATTCAAATCATTTCTGTTGGCTGCGTTGTATTCCATTGTAATGATGTACCAGAATGCAATCCACCTCCTGTTTTAGACTTTAGGTTAATCTTATTTTGATATTATAAATATTCATTATGTAGTAAATCTCAGTAAACATCATCAAAAAATTACTTCCCTAGGATAAATCCCAGAAATAGAATGGTTGGATCAAAGGTTATATATATTTTTAAAGCTTTTAAAACTTATTATCAGTTACATTAAAAATTACGTATTTCCCAAAATTTGTATCAGTTTGTACTACCACTAGCAGTGTTTGAGAGTGCTCTGTGGCAGATTGTATTAAGGTGACCTCAACAATCTCTTCCATCTTACATAGTTTCCCAGAACTTAATCACTGCCCCATCAAAAGGTGGAGCCTAGGGCTCCCCTTCTTGGACCCATGCAGGGCTTTGTATCTGCATCCTGCGTAAGCCTTTATGAAGTACGGCAAAAGTTATGCTGTTTGACTTTTGAGACTAGCACCTAAAAATGCCAAGCCCTTCCAGCTTGCTCTCTTTGGATGCTTGCTCTTGGAAACCAGTGCCATGGTATGAAGAAACCCAAACAGCCCACGGAGAGACCCACACAGAGAGGAACTGAGGCCCTCTGCCCACTGCCTAGCTGAGCTTCCAGGTGATAGCCAGCATCAACCTGCCAGATGGACCACACCCAGATATACTTCATGGAGCAGAGATGAGCTGTTCGCTGCTAAATTCTGTTCAAGGTGCAGATTCATGATCAAAGTAAGTGATGTTGTCTCACACTGCTGAGCTTTGGAGTGGTCTGTTAAGCAGCAGTGGATAACTGACACAGCTAATTTCTCCCCGCTCTATCTGCCACTATTTTTTTTTCCCTTTCATTTTTGCCAATAGGATAGAGGAAAGTGGCATTTCTCATTTGGTTTCAATACTTTGGCCCATTATTTTCAGCAGAGTTTTAGTGATTTTCTTATTTACAATAGAACTTTAAGATACTTTAATTCTATTTATTTTACTTGTCATTTTTTTCTTTTCAAAAGAAATGTTGATAGCAAAAATTAAGTATTAATTTTTGTATTTAAGTATTTAAGTCAGAGCCAGGACTAGGGTGAGGCTACAGAGGGACCTGGGCACCACATTAAGGAGGCACTCACTCTCAGGTGCAGACCTCACTGGTGGGGCCCTTAAGATAAGCATCTCCTTCAATTTTGCACCTTCCACACCTCCCTTGCTCACACGAGTCCCAGCCCTGTTTTAAGTCCACCCAGCCTCACTTTCTAGATATAACTGCACTGATCATAGTATGGTGTATATTCTTCAGGACTTCTTCTAGACAAACATTAACACATATATAGCAATGTTACAAATTACACTATTAATATATATGAATGTATTATATTACATTTAATAATTCACTACATTTACATTAAATTACATTTAATAATTACATTATTATGTATTTAGTATTAAAGATAGCAGTAGACAGTAATATTTATGTTTACAGAGATGTATCCTTGGACTTCTTATGTCAATGCTTGCAGACTAATCTCATTTTTAAAAAATGTATCTATTTATTTGGGGAGGGAGGTAATTTGGTTATTTATTTTGTAAATGGAGGGCCGGGGGATTGAACCCAGGACCTCGTGCATGCCAAGCAGGCACTCTACCACTGATCTATACCCTCTCCCAAACTGATCTCATTCTTAAGATGGTATACTTTGTAATAGTTATCCCTTTCCTATGTTTATGGCATATACTTTCCCAATTTTTAAATATGTAGCTTGACTTTCTTTTTAACTTATTTTTAAAAATTAATGTTAAGATTAAACTCTCACCTTAGTTATACCTTCCATCATTTTTATATTTTTCCCATCTATATATTTTCCATTTATATATTTTCCAAAATTTTTATGCTTACCAAAACAGTATTCAGCTATATTTTCCTGTACCTTAATTTTACATCCCTGGGATTTATTTTGGTATATGGTGTGAAAATGGGATCTTTCTGGGTTTTCCTTAAATAATCAATATTCTTAATACCATTTGCTAAACTCTGTGACCATCGGAAGTGTTGAGGGTTGAGGACTTGACAGGGACAGTGCAGAGCAGATTCAGGCTGGAGGAGGTTTTCGGTCCCTTCCAACCACAAGTGACAATTCTTGCGGCAGAGGCTTCCAGGCAGGCAGTCATTGGTGAGGGGCAGGACATGCCATCATGATGGTGGAGGAAGGAGGTTAACAGGCAGCATTGAGGCCCACTCTCCTCTGGGAGAACCCTGCCGCCCCAGGGAAAGGCCTTTTGCTCTCTCAGTATAGAGGTAAGCAAGTCTTGCCAAAGAAGCACCTGGAAATTTGCCAGCCCGGCCAGGTAGATTTCACCCTAGACTCTATAAACAGATGCTTCTTGAGTCTTCTTCAACACTCCCAAGGCCAATGCCCCCAGGGACCACCACCTTAGCTTTACCCTGTTGTATTGGCAGAGGTCCCCCCACCTTTGCCTTGTGACTTCTAGACTCTTTCTTCCCTGCCTGGTACCCACACCTGGCACACACTCTCCCAGGCACAGGTGACACCTAGAGGGAAGGCGCAGAGGGTGAGCAGAGAGACTGAGCCATCTGACCCTCCTGGAGGCCATGGTACTCCACTCACAGGGGTGACTTCTCTTCAGGGCAGAGACCAAGGCCTGGGGAGGAGATCCCCCTGTGGACAGTCTCCACAGCTCCCCTACCCCACTCTGTCAGGGGGGAGCCAGGCCAGAGGTGGACCACCTCCTGGGGACCTCCGCAGCTCAGTGATGGCTTCTGAATGAAGCACCCCATAAGCCTGTGGTCCCTCCAACCCTGCTCATGAGACCCCTTCAGGGTTTTCCTTCCTTCAGGTCTCGGGGAAGCCTCCCCCACCCCCAGGCCGTTCTCTATCCTTCAGAGCACTTACCACAATCTGTCGTTTTCTTCTCACTGGTCTGTCATTTCCTCTAGGGTGTAAGTGCCATAACAGCACGTCTCTCTGCTCTGCTTAACTCTAGCTTGCAGCCCAGCGCAGCATTGAAAAACATCCTTGTATTTTTTTAAAAGAGTTTTTCGCTTAGACTTTCTCGTATTCACTGCTTTGCTGGACTTGGCCTGTGCTCTCTGCTCTGCCTGTGGTGCCTGCTTCCTCCTCACTTTCCTTGCTAACACCCACTCATCTGTCAAAACCCAGCTCAGCTGCCTCCTCCTTTAGGAAATCATTCCTGAACTCAGTACGTAACACCCCAGGCAGAGATGAGCTGCTCTGTCTGGCCCCAGAACCAAGAACCTTTGCTTTGCAGGGCTCCTTAAGGACTCTCTCCTGCACAGGAGCTCTTCAAAGGTGCAGAGAACAATCTAGAAATGGGAGGGCAGCGTTCAAGACACAGAAGCCCCAGCTCCCAGCTTGGCAGCCTGGGTGGGGGAGGGGACCAGCTGGTGGGCGAAGCCGGTTTATCGATGTTGCTGGGAGCCCTGGGGAAATCAAGGTGAAAGGCAGTGGTTCGCTAAGGAGGAGGCTCACCCCTGTTTATCAATCAGAGGGGCTGGGGCAGAGTGAAAAGATGTTCGGCTGCCTGCCAGAGGCTGCCCTGACGAAGGAGACTCACAGCCACCA